ATTTTTCCACCACCAAAAGCAGAAAATTTAGAGTTCCTCTATAGTACTCTCACCCTTTACCTGGCATATGAGCTAGAGCAGAAATAAGGATCTCAAATGAGTGTTTTGGTACAGGTGATTATGGGGAAAATGGAGCTATGGAAATTACCAAGGACATGAACCAACAACTCTATCTGTAGAGTGAACCCTCATAACCATTCAAGTTCATTACCATTAGTAGGGCCCTAGGTAGTTTCTGCTCATACAGAATTAGTGCCATTTTTTTATATGAAAGTACATCAGCATTTATTTTCCTTAATTCATTCTATGCAATGAAGTGGGACTCCCCAGATCCAATTTATTATTCCCTGGATGTTAGGTGAGCCTGCCTCTCTTTTTCTTAGTGGCTCAAGAAATATCAAAACCTTATAATTTGGTTAATGTTTTATCCAGCCTTCCATTTAAATAAGTTAAAAGGGTATCCATAATCCAGTCATTAATACTTATTTTGAGATACAGCATGAAGTTAATTGTCTTCTAAAAATAGCTCAAAAATTTCTCCGTTATGGCCCTTTCATGATAATCAGTGCTTCCCAGAGAACTTTAAAGATTTTTTTCATGTAAGATCTTAATAGAGAGGTCTTATGGAGAAGTTCTAATTCTCCTCCCCACCCCCATATTCCCAAAGTACAAAACTTTTTCAGGGAAGACCATAGAGAAGGCATCCACGAAGGAATTCCAGCCAGATGTAGAGGTCACAGTTTTCTTTGTCTTTTCATAATGGGTGGGCAAAAAGGTGGACTCTATCCTTGACTAGCCTATTAGTAATGGACATTGAAAAGGGTAACTGTTACAGTACCTGCTGACACTGTCACTGTCTGGAGCTTGCCCTGAAATATCACCTTTCAGTATCTTTTCTGCTAACTGTCCATCAACACCCAAGTATGGCAAGCTTCAGAGCATGCTGCAAGACTTACGTATTCAGTCAGGCTTTCTGGCAGAATGTTATTTTGTTGTTTATGCCTTTTGTGGTATGTGAAATATTTTAGGTTGGATTGGTATTATCTCAATGTCAGAAAATATCTGAGCCATTTTGATTCCCACGTGACCAGCACTTTGAGAGGCTAAGTATAAATGCTGTTTAGAGAGGTCAAATACTATATTTACTCAATTCTAATACAAGGGTTTTTCACCATTTAAAATCTCATATGATGATGTGGAATGTGGCTGCTGTGGCTCAGGCTCCAGGCCTTACCCAGGCTCTGGGCCATTGCTGCAGCTGCTGCCTGTGCCCTCTTTCCTGCCCTGCCCAGCCACCTCTGCACCCTGCCATCTCCCTCCTGCAGCCTTGTCTCTCCCACCTCCCACACACCCTCTGCTCCCCCTGTCTGCTCCTCTCCCTCCCACATTTACCTTTGTGCCATGCCAGCAGGATCCATTCACCCTACAGCTTGAGGCATGGAGAACAGCCCCAGGCTAAAGTGGGATGTAACCTGCCAGCCAGAACAGAAAGGGAGGAGGAAAGCAGAAGCTGGGGAGTGGGGAGAGGGGTATGGGTGAACAGAGGCTGTGGGGGAGGAGGACCTGAAGCTGGGGAGGGTGGAGAGAAGAGGCTGGGTTGTGATGGGGGACCTGAGGCTTTAGGGGAGGCAGGCAGAAGGCAATGGGGGCAGACACAAGTAGGGGCAAGCTGCTTGACCTCCCCACACCACCTGCCTCCTCACTTCCTGCCCCCACTACAGCAGTGGTAGAGGTGAATTAAAGATGACCCTCCAATAATTAGTTTCTATATGTGGAAGATTGTGACAAAGTTATATATTTTCCACATATAGAATCAAATTTGGGGGGTTGTCTTATATTCAGGGTCTGAGATTCAAGTAAATACAGTAGCCAAAATGAACAGCTCTCTGAAAACTCACTCTGAGAATTATTCAGCCAAAATATTTACAGAACATTTATGAACAAATATATTCCAAATAATCACGATCACTTTACAAACAATTCATTAATGAAAAGCAGTTAAAATAATACATTCTGGGCTAGATTTTGTTGTAGCTTTTGTGATTATCAGCTATGGATCTGGTTCAATATTTGTAATAAGAAATTCAACTAGCTCTAGTTAAAGTGAACTCCAAGGGATGTTCCCCTTCAGAGAAACAATTAGGGTCACGAGACTATAGAAATGGGAGGGATCACCTGAATTTCTGCATCCAATTCATACAATCATAGGCAACTATATAATGAATGTCTGTCCGTAAGGCATCACAAGAACATCCACCCTTGTCCTTCCCATTCTCTCCAAACAAAGAGCAGCCCATAGGACCCTGTAATTAACATAGCTTTAGTACAAATAAAACCTAATTGTGTCCCACAAGAAGAAATCAGGAGAGCAGGGTGCCTTGCCAATGCACTGGGAACAGTTTGAAAATCTGAAATTATATAGCGGTGATCTAGAGCCCATTGGAGTCAATAGAAAGATTCCCATAATTTTCTGTGGGCTCTAGATCAAATCATGAATATCTCTGCATGTTCTGATTTTGTTCAATACTCTAAGCACATGAATGGGAAGCTAATAGCTCCCTAGAACTGAAATGGCTACCTTCTAAGTTATGTCTGACAACAGGAGTGCCCAGTGGAGCTAAATATGAATGCTAAGTTGGTAATTCATTAATCATGAAAAGGTATGTAGTTAGTTATACATGTGATTATTTTTCCACATAAATGTCTTCTACTTTTATGTCAATGTGCAGAGCTGTATGCAGTGCAACAGCAATAAACCATAAACTTTTTCACCTCCTCAGATGGCTTTACAAGATATGTAAAGATAAACATAAATGCTTTGTACACAGTACTGATTTTGGAAATGTTAACTTAATGAGAGGTCAACACGTCCTGGGTATAGTACCTGCACATAAGTGTGCATGTTACTAAGGGTAAGCGCCTATTTTGAAAGCTCCTGTGAGGGTTTTCTCTCTCTCTCAAAGCCTTCTGGATAGCCATGATCTAGGTAAAATATTTTGTTTTGAGCAATCATTTTTTTAAATGTAAACATTAAAGCCCCTAAACATTTTAAATCCAGGCCAGTCCCATATCTTAGGACACTACAGTCCAAAGGTAAGCCAAATTACCTTGCCTCTGCCAGAGCTGGACTTTCAGTCCAGAGTTTAATAATATACACCATAGTTGATGTGTCATTTGAAAACAGTGCATAGCAAGTAGCAAACCAATGTAAGTTGCAAGCAAGAAGACTGTAGAAACTGGTTCAGTACTCAGTTTCCACTAGTACAGGCCACTAAAAGATGAAATGCTGCACTGTCCTGTGAAATCCAGTACGCCTGTCAGGTGCAAGAGGTCACTTCATTGGCAGAGAACTGTTTCACATAAGATGATGAAAATGCCAATTACACATTTCTTCGTCACCTTCCAGTGTTCTCACCCCACACCATGCTTCACTTTCTTTTCCATGTATACCATTGATCCTATAAACTGTAACACTAAAATTGACCCACTGCTCTTCTCCCTGTCTCTACCAATACAGTGAAAGGTGCTTGTTCCTGATACTGGCACTCTCATCAACATCCTGTTCCCTTTCCATCAGTGTTTCTCTGCAGAATCCTAGGAAGTTTAGCTTTGTACTTTGATGACAAGTGATAGACAAACTACAAAAATCTCAGGATGGTGGCCACACTTTAGGTGGTCAGTTCTTAGCTAATTTTAGCTAGATATCACTAAAATTGTTCAACAATTTTAAATTTATTTCAGACATTTTGGACTAAAAACATTTAGGATGTTGAAGTGAAGGATTTTTTTTCCTGGGATCCTTCATATTAACAATAATGATTATTATGTAACTCCTACTGCCTACAACATGCCAGGCATCACATATAACAGAAATAGTAGATGATCTCTGCCTTGAAGAGCTTACAGTTTACCATGTAGACAGAGCAACAGAAAACTGTGCATATCAGGTGGAGAAATCAGAGAGCAGAAAGATGAAGGAATTAAATATAAGGCTGCATAATTACTTAATAGTTATGCCTACACCCTGTTCCATAATACCTACAAAGTTATGCTAAAATTCCTCCCAGGGCAAGTCACTCCTGTAACTAAGCCCTGCTTGGTGCTGTTATACATCCAAGTCCCCGTGGCCATTTCCCCACTCCTGTGCTGCACCATATAACTGTCCTTTGTCTTCATTCCAGATAATAACATCAATTCATTATTGTCCAAGCATGACCCACACCAACGCGGCACACCCAGGTTAGCAAGTAGTTCAGATCCTTTTTACGGGGGCTAATGGACAAATGGAACTACTAAATTCTTGGGACAGCTAATGAAAAAAAAAAGGATAGGAGTGTTGTGTGGATCAAAGGGTCAAAATGAGAGAATAAGTGCTCCTGAGGGGGACACGGAGCAGAGCCTCCCAGGCCGCACCCAGTGGTCCTCAAAGGCATCCAAGGAGCCGGTGCATGCTGCCCACTGGTGCTCTGCCCAGAAACATGCGCAGACAATGGAAAGGAAAGCGGCCCTGCAGTCTCTGGGCACCTTCCCAGCCCGAGCCTCTGTCCTGGTCAAGTACAGGGCCCCAAGGCCTCCTGAAGGGCACTCCTTGTTGACCAGTCTCTCCCCCCATATGCTACCCCATCCTCAGGCTCTGTGGCTCCCAGACAAGCTCTTAGACACCAAGTGGGGGTGAATGAACCTCAGGAACCAAGTGCACCCCAAGCCCTCCCTGCCCAGGCCGCCTGGCCATGCGTGGGAGGCAGCTTCACCTCCACCTCCTCCTCCAGCCCCGCAGAGAGGAGGGTGGGGAGAGCTGAGGCAGGGCTCCCTTTTCCACTTGTCAGCAGCAGCTGCAGCTTTCCAGCTCCCCCCCGGCCCGGGCAGAGGAGAGGCAGGGGCGCGGGGCTGGGCTGGGCGAGGTGGGGCAGCGGGGAGGGTCAAGGCGAGGAGAGGGCGGGAGGCGGCCGCGGGGAGTGGCGCGGGCGGGCTCGGGCTCATAAAAGGGAGCCCGCGCCCCGGCAGAGTCAGCACCGCGGACAGCACCACCAGCCCACCATGGCCGCAGAGGCTCACCTGCAGGCAGCCGAGATCTCCGCCTCGCAGTGC